TTCACCTTCAGAGCAAAACCAAACCGCTGCAGGAGGGAACACTGGGAACACTGGGAATATCTGGACTTTTACCTGAAACTGAATCCACAAACCGGATAAGACGTAAAAAAAGAACAAAGAATACAGATTAAAGGAACTTTGAGTGACAGGGAGTGACTCCCAGCTGTTCGTCTCCTCGTCTTCAGCTTGAGATAAAATGGCGTCCAAGTTAGAGGAAGATCTGAGCTGTCCGGTCTGCCTTGACATCTTTAAAGATCCAGTCATCCTGTCCTGCTGTCACAGCTTCTGTAGAGAGTGTCTGAAGGACTCCTGGAAGGAGAAGGAGAACAAGGAGTGTCCGGTTTGTAAGAGGAGACATTCAAAGGATTTCTTACCTCCTAACTTTGCTTTAAAGAACCTGTGTGAGAGTTTTGTGCAGGAGAGAGATCAGAGAGCTTCAGAGGATCTCTGCAGTCTGCACTCTGAGAAACTCAAACTCTTCTGTCTGGACCATCAGGAGCCGGTGTGTGTCATCTGCAGAGATTCAGAAAAACACAGCAAACACAGATTCAGACCCATCGATGAAGCTGCTGGACAACACAAGAAGAAACTTCAGGAAACTCTGGAGCCGGTAAAGAAGAAGTTAAATGTTTTTAAAGAAGTTAAAGTGAAGTTTGATCAAACAGCAGAACACATTCAGGTCCAGGCCCGACACACAGAGAGGCAGATTAAGGAGCAGTTTAAGAAGCTTCACCAGTTTCTAGAAGAGGAAGAGGAGGCCAGGCTGTGTGCACTGAGGGAGGAAGAGGAGCAGAAGAGTCAGAGGATGAAGGAGGAGATGGAGGCTCTGAGCAGAGAGATAGCAGCTCTTTCACACACAGTCAGAGACACAGAGGACGAGCTGAGAGCTGAAGACGTCTCATTCCTGAAAAACTACAAGGCTGCAGTGGAAAGAGTCCAGCAGCGCCCCCTGCTGGAGGATCCACAGCTGCCCTCAGGAGCTCTGATAGACCAGGCCAAACACCTGGGCAACCTGAGCTTCAACATCTGGAACAAGATGAAGGACATGGTCTCCTACAGTCCGGTCATTCTGGACCCAAACACTGCTCATCCACTCATCCTGTCTGAAGATCTGACCTGTGTGACAGAGGAGAGAGACAGCAGCTTCCTGATAATCCAGAGAGGTTTGATACTTACTGCTCTGTCCTGGGCTCTGAGGGCTTTAACTCAGGGACTCACAGCTGGGACGTCCAGGTTGGAGACAGTACATACTGGACCTGGGTGTGTTAGCAGAGTCTGGACAGAGGAAGGGAGACAAACAGTCTGGATTATGGTCAATATGGTTCAGTGATGGTGAATACAGAGCATACACCCCATCACATCCAGACACTGCTCTCTCAGTGAAGAAGAATCCTCAGAGGATCAGAGTGAATCTGGACTGTAACAGAGGAGAGCTGTCCTTCTCTGATCCTGATACTAACACACACATACACACCTTCACACACACTTTCACTGAGAGGATGTTTCCATACATTACACTGTGATGAACTCCCACTGAAGATGTTACCAGAGAAGATCTCTGTGACTGTGTCGTCCTGATGTCTCTGGTTGTCTTTATGACAGAGCTCAGATCTGTTTGGTGTAACTCAGGGACTCACAGCTGGGACACTGTGGGGGGGTAGAGTCTGTCCCTGTTCTCTGAGTGAAGAAGAGGCTGCAGAGGATCACAGTGAGTCTGACACCAACACACACTTTCACTGAGAAACAGTTTGCATGCATCAGAACTGAGAGAAGAACTCCCACTGAGGACTTAACCACTGAATCTCTGTGACTGTAGATTTAAAAAAACATCTTGATGATTAGAATCAAATTTCACTCATTTTTCTTAAGCGATATTTGAACACCTTAACAATCAATGATCCATTAATGATGAATAATTAATGAGCCATAAAAAGCTCGTCTTCTTCTCAGTTTATGTTTTGTTGAAGTTATTTTAAACATGAATTCATTAAATACAATCAGTTTGAAATAATTAAACTACGAGGCTCTCTCTTAAAAACAACGTATTGTCATGATTTGGTCTTATGTAGTTTGTATTTTCAGTTTGTCTCCTAGCTTAGTTTCTAGTGTTTTTATTTTGTATTTCCTATACCTGTGTTTCTTTGTTCTAGTGTGTTTTCTTGGTAATGTTTCATTCTTGAGTTCTGATCTCATTCATCTGGCGAAGGCTGCGTTCCATCATTCTTGTAATTCTGCTTTAATCAAACTGGGTGCCTTTTCATCAACTTGTTCATTGGTAGTTTGTTTGTGTGTTTTACTCTGACTTTGATTATCGACCATGTAAAAAAAAAAATTAACATAATTAAAAGAAAACAGTCAACAATCTGTCATCTGTCATTTATACATAACACCTGTGGTTGAAATATGATTAGCATGCTAATATTAGTAGTAATTTATTTCATTACATTATGAAATATACTATTAACATTGTAGTATACTTTTTAAGCATTCAGGTTTAATTTTTACACAGCTATGAATAATATGTAATAAGAGAGCCAGCACAGGACCCTGTAACTGCAGCAGCTTGTCCACATGTGGCACATGCATCGTACAGTCAGAAAAGCAGGAACATCTGAGGTGGTAAGACACATAAATATCACAATATGTCATTTTTGTCATTGGTTCATGCACACAATGTGGCATGAAGGAGACAAGCTGCCAACAGGAGAAACATTCTGGCTATCCTATTACAAAATGAAGACCATGTAAATAGGACACATTCAATATTTGTAAGGGTAAACTGGGATTATGTAAGGAAGTTAATGTAAGCTCCTCACCTCAAATATTGAAGGTATATACACTCAGATAAGTCAATAAATACTATTGTGTGACATGTTTATTAGTAACCACTTCATTTCTTAACACTGAATTAAATTCAAACAGTGAATTTCACAGCAAACTGACAACAGTATTATATCAGTAACCAAAAAACACTTCATGAATGATAAAACACTTTTCACTTTGGAAACACAAGTTCAGACACCTGAAACATCCTGTCCCTACTCAGCGTGGACTGTGAGGACAATACCTCTAATTGAACGGCCACAGCGCTACTGTCCGCCTCTACCTGGGAGATGGAGAACTAAAGAAAGACTTCAGTCTGTCAAGGCAGACAGTGAAGGCCTTGGTGGAGTGTCTGGGATACACCAAGGACCATGGCTGGAGCAAAGACCTCGAAGTGGGGATATATTTATACTGGCTGGCCAGTGCCACCTCGTATCGGGTGGTGTCAGGAGCCTTTGATGTCCCCATCACCACGGTTCATGATGTTGTTCATCGAGTCGCTGGAAGTATCATCAGCATCATGAAGAGGGTGGTTCATCTCCCTGCTGCTGATGAGCTAGAGGGAATAGGGGAAGGCTTTGCCCACCTGGCTGGCTCTCATGCCTTCTGCAGAGCGGCTGGCAGCATTGATGGGACACACATTAGAATCAAGCCACCTGCAGCAAACAAAGAAGACTACCTTAACAGGTAACCTGCGTACAAAATACCACTTCATATAAACCTGTTTTTAATCCCATATCAATGTGAGTGGTTATCAATTCCATTTTGTGTTGTTCAACAGGAAGCTCTTCCATTCAGCTGCTGGTGGTGTGTGATCACAAAGGCCGCTTCCTTAATACATATACAGGTAGAAATGAAAGTCAGAAATGTATTAGTACACCTTCCACTGCTTAACACTAGAACGACCAGCATTCTATCACTACTAGAAAGGCCATGTCAATCAACAATGTCCCGCCCCCTCTATGAATTAAACTCTTCTGTCAGTAAAACTTACTTTGATCATGTGTCACAGAATGAACACATTCTGTATTATGTTTGATTATATATAAACTAAACTAAAGTTAGTCCAATGATGTCATAAAAAACAACAAAGTCTGCAGAGCCTGTATGAAGCTCCAGCTGGAGGAACTCTGCAGGGCTAAAACAGAACAGAAACACAAGAACTTGAAGTCTACATGTTTTTAAATGAATGAATAACTGCATGAAAATGTTCCTGATGAACATAAAAAGAGGACACATAACTAAATCATCATTTCAAAGTGGTGAGGAAAACCTTCAAATTGTTCATAAATATTGATCAAATTGAGGGAAAGACATTTCTGTTGCTAAAGATGTTCTGGGTGAGAGACCTCCAGACCTCCTACAAAGATGTTTTTCAAATAGATTAAACTTGTCAGCACAGTTTTTGTGCTTCTAAAAACATTATACAGGTAAATAAGTTTGGTTGAACTGGTCAGTAACTTATAAATTTGTCTAAAGAACAGTATGAAAAAAATTGTGATCGTGATTTTGCCCCAAAACAAATTGTGATATGATATTTTTCCCATATCGCCCACCTCTACCTTCAAGAGCGGGAAAAAGTAGCGAATACTGAAATGATACACTGGCTATAATGCATGCAGTCAATATGCCCGCTATGGACTTTCAAGGTAGAAATACTCAAAACTCTTTTGTGTTTTTGATAAAATTACAATGCTAGAATAAAATATAGACACATTTAGGAAAAGTCATGGTCCTGTAGTTACATAAGTTTTATTTTAAGTAAGTTATTACATTGCAAAATTAAAAAACTGTCAAAATGACTGCCTTGGTCTTTCTAGTGTTAAGGGATTGTTGATCTAATAAATAATTCAGTCATCAGTTACTGACATTAATACAATAATTTGTGATGTCACATTTCAGAAGTGTTTGAGACGGGCATTTTCAACATAATGTGTCCTGTACCATGTCAAGTACAATGACATATTCACAATACATCACCCTTGTTCACAGGACTTCCAGGCTCTGTCCACGATGCCAGGGTCCTGCAGTGGAGTTCTCTGTACGTACACCAACTCTACCCCCCTCATGGCTGGTGTATTGTTGGGGATGGGGGTATCCCTGCCTGGCTGCACCAATCAGCTTGATGACCCCATTCAGGGAGCCGGTGCAAAACCCTGTTCATGTACGATACAACCGGCATCATGCCAAAGCACGGTGTGTGGTGGAAAGGGCGATTGGCATGATGAAGACGCGGTGGCGCAGCATCTTCCTCAAGGCCCTGGAGGTGAGAGACAGCATTAATGTGTAAATTTGTAATTTGTAATTTATTTCAAGGATAGCCCCTTGAGATGCAGCATCTCATTTTCAAGGGGGTCCTTACAAAACATGAATGAATCATCATAATACGAAATCAAAATAAAAGGTAAATCCAAAACATAATACCAAACATTTAAACACAGAGACACCCACACCACAAACACACACACACTCACAATCACTCACACTTAATGCTCCCCCAAGCCTAGCCACCCACCAACCAGCCAGTATTACACAATCAGAAAAAATCTGAAGAGAAAAAATACATATATAATAATAATAATAATAATAAAAAAAGAAAAAAGAAAGGAAAACCTCTGCATATATATATGCATACACACTATACAGGACTTACACACATAGTGTACGCAACATTAAGGCACAAGGTACAGAACAGTACATACATGTAGATACACGAGCGCAAGCAAGAGGAGAGCAGGTCCAGACAAACTAAGTCCAACAGAGAAAGAAAATCAAAAGCAAGAGCAGGATGTTTGACAATGAGTATGTAGAGATGATTTAAAGATATGAAAAGAGGTGATAGATCTAAGTGAGCGAGGTAGGTTATTCCAGTCTGATGGAGCGTTAAATTTAAATGCACGGCGACCAATTTCTTTCCTGATTCTTGGTGTGAGGAAAAATAGATGATCAGTATGCCTTAGGCTATACTGTGAACTGAAAGGGATTAGAAATTGTTTCAAGTACGGAGGAAAATTAAAATAGATACATTTAAAAGTAATGAATGAAATGTCCTTCTGGACTTGGGAGCCAGCCAATTCAAGGACTCATACATTAGGCAGTGATGGGTCCTATATGGACACCTCAGAACAAATCTACAGAGACTGTTGAATAAGATAGTGAGAGGTCGAAGATTTGTCTCTGAGGTGTTTCCATAGATAACATCAGCATAATCAAGGATTGGCAGCACCAATTGTGTCACGATTCTTCTCCGGACTTGCAGTGAAAAACATTCAACAGAACGATAAAGTGATTTTAGACGACCATATATTTTCTTAGAAATTGAGTTGATATAAGGTTTGAAAGATAACTGGGAATCTAGCCAAAGGCCCAAATATTTAAATTCATCTACTTTTTCTAATGCTGTTCCATCCAGGAAATTAATATGCCAGTTTTTTGTTAAGGGCAAAGAATCTGGTCGAGTGCAGAACAACATAAAATATGATTTTTTCTTATTCAGAAGAAGTTTATTGACAGAGAATCATTTTTGGACTAGATTAAAATCAGATTGTATTGAGTATTGAATTTGTGAAATGTCCGAACTGGAGGAGTATATTACAGTGTCATCTGCATATAAATGAATTTGACAGTCAGAACAGACTGGTGAGAGGTCATTGATGAAGATGGAGAATAATAGAGGACCTAAAGATGAACCTTGTGGCACACCTTTATCAATAATCTTGAAGTCTGACTGGCTGCCCTGAAAAAAACCACATTGACTTCTATAATGAAGAAAAGAGTTGAAAACAACAAAGAGTCAGTAGAGAAACCAATAGCATGTAGTTTATCTAAAAGAAGATAGTGATCAACCATGTCAAATGCTTAGCAAGGTCAATAAATATAGCACCTGTAGACATATTGCTGTCAGATGCTGACTGTATGTCATTGGTGAATTTTAGGAGAGCAGTGGCGGTCGAGTGGTTTGGTCTAAAACCAGATTGGTGTGTTGATAATAAGTTGTGATCATTAAGATATTTAGATAATTGATTAAAGATGAGTTAATAAAGATTGAGATATGTCTATAATTATTGATGTCCGTGGGGTCACCCACTTTATGGAGGGGGGTTACTCTGGCACATTTCCAGGAAGAGGGAGTTTTACCAGTTGCAAGAGATGAATTAAATAAATCAGCCAGAGGAAATGATAAAATATGAGAGGCAAGTTTAAAGAACTTAATCTCCAGACCATCTGGACCAGCACTGCATCCAGAGCTTAGACCATCAGTGACCTGTTGGACATCAGTTGGTGTGATAGTTCTGAAGGAAAAGGAACTGCCACATCTGTTCTGAGTCGGGGTAAAGTCAGAGTGCGAATAACCAGACAGGGAGCTACCAATTGTAGAGAAGTGTTGGCTAAATGCCTCTGCAATTAATGATGGTTCACTGACAGTTTCATTGTTTATTCTGATACGAGTAGTAGGATTTTTTGTGGGTTTATTGGTTATACTATTGATTCTCTTCCAAAATTGCTTTGGGTTCTTAAAATCAGTTGACAGACAGTCTTTGTAATAATTTGCCTTAGCATTTCTAGTATTGGTTTTACATTTATTCCTCAGCTCTTTATAAGCATTCCAGTCAGAAGAATGATTTGTTACACGGTATTTTTTCCAAGCCTTGTCTCTTTGTTTGAATAAGTGTATAAGATCTCCTTTTATCCAAGGTAAATGTCGACCCTTGACTTTAATTGTTGTCCAGGGAGCATGTTTATTAATTATCTCAACAAGCTCAGTATAAAAGTAATTCCAGGCATCTTCAACGAATGGTATTAGTTGAAATCTTTCCCAGTTGATGTTTAAGATATCTTGAATATAAAGTTCAGAGTTAATATTATTAGTTTTCCTTACTTGGATGAATTTAGGAGGAAGATGAGGCACTTTGATTTTCCAAACACAAAAAACAATAGAATGGTCACTGAAAGAGTCAGGTAATACCCCAGATTGTATGATTCTGTCGGGATGGGAAACTAGGATCCAATCAAGTAGAGAAGACGAACTGGGACCAACTCTGGCAGGTTCACTTATAAGTTGGGTTAAATTTATGCTGTTGAAGAGATTGCGATCATTACGGGATGAGCGATCTGCCCAATTGGAGTTGAAATCACCTAATATGATTTTTTCACTAGTGCAGTCTAAAGAATTAATGGTTGATAGGATACATTCAGTTGTTTCAGCAGGAGCATTGGGAGGTTTATAGATATTTCCTATGATAAGTCGTTTGTTCTCATGTAAAATAATTTTAACAAAAAGGCATTCAAAACGCGAGGGATTCTCAGTTGGTAAAATAAGTTCTGCAGTCAAATTTGAGGATACATATGTCAAAAGACCCCCTCCTCTTGAGCCCCTGTCTTTTCTATAAAGGACATAGTTATCAATTGTGACTTCATCATCAGAAATATTGCTGTTTAACCAGGTTTCAGAAAGAGTAATTACATGAGGTTTATTATAGGTGAGCCAGGCTCTCAATAAGTCAATTTTAGGTGACAAACTCCTAATGTTCAAGTGAATAACATGCATACCTTTAATAGAGTTCATTATTCCGAGATGATGTGAAAATAAATATGCAAGTAAGGTGGCAGCAAAAATGCACACACACACACACACAGGTAAGAGGTAAGTGTATTCATACTAAATGATATAGTAGGCCTTTATGAAGTCATCTGATGACATACTAGAAAATAATAAAATAATAGAAACCTCAGATGCTTCATAATTAATTTACTTCATCATTCAGAGTTTTCACTGATTGTAATAAATTATTGTAAGGGTCTATCCCTTCCCATCAACTTAAAATAGCCGAACTCTTTTAGTGTTACACAGTTTTACGGCATTTGCGACACATTTTACGGCAAACACTAGTAAGGCAGCATCCATCACAGCAGCCCAACGCCCACTTTGTAAATCAAAACAGAAAACACAAACAAACAAAAAAACTTGCCGGTCCAATGGTAAAATAATTACAAGAAGGGAAATAGACAAAAGAGTTCACCTGACGGTGAAATAAAAATGGAAAGGGAAAATAAACAAAAAAGTTCATCAGCCTCTTTTCAGAGTTCTGTGCTAACGTTAGCACTAGCCACTAGCGTTAAGCTGTCATGTCAGAGTCAATGGAGGAATCAATGGAGGAAAGTTCACCAAAAATGTCTCAGCTTCATCAGGTGTGCGAAGAAAAAGTGTCTTACCAGCACGGACAACTCTCAACGTGCAGGGAAAGATCAAGGCGTATTTGATGTCTCTGTCACGGAGCTTTTTCTTAAGCGCATCAAAACCCCGGCGTCTCTGGATCAGACCAGCGGAGAAGTCCGGGTAGATATAAACTCGAGCTCCTTTGTACTGAGGGGGCTCCTTCTTCTCCTGGAGAGTTTCATTATCTTCATCTTGTCCTGGAAGTAGTGGAGCTTTACCAAGATCGGCCTGGGACCCTTGGCTCTGGAGTTATCCTTGACAGCAGTACGATGACAGCGCTCGATCACCGGAGGAGAAATCCGCTTCACCTAGAAGCTGCGGGATCAGACGACTCATAAAGCCAAGGATGTTATTACCCTCGGCCCTCTCGGGGATGCCGATGAAGCGGAGGTTGGAGCGTCTGCTTCGGTTCTCAGCGTCTTCAACCCATGCTTTCAGGTCAGTGTTTTCTTTTTCGAGCACTTTTACACGTCTGGCCAGGTCTGTGATGTCATCCTCGTTCGAGCTAACTCTGTGCTCAAGCTCGTTGACCTGCTCTCCAGTTGACCTGCTCTCCAGTTGACCTGCTCTCCAGTTGACCTGCTCTCCAGTTGACCTGCTCTCCAGCACACTAAGAGAGCCATCTATTTTGGTCAGACTAGCTCCAAGTTGATCCATTTTAGTGTCCATGTGTGAAATCATGTCAAGCTTCATGTGCTGCATCATATCCAAGACACTTTGGAGAGTCATTTGCGCATCACCCATTGTGAGGCCAGCAAACTTTTTCCCTCAATATAAGAAGGATGTGGTCCAATAACTCGTTGGTTTGATGCTGAAGGCTGCTATAGTTTACGTTTTTTGATTCACCACAAGCAGTTCATTAGTATCAGCAAAGTTTAGAGTGGAAATATAAATCTCAGCGACCTCAATAGACAAATAATTGAGCCAGCAGACTGCAGCTTGTAGCACCCACTCACGTCATGGCAGCCATTCTAAGTACACACTAGTTGAATAAGTGCTGAGCAGTGGCTATTAAATATAAGCAGCAAAGTAATACAGGTATGGACATTCTGAGACAATAATGAAAACAAAAGAGCAGCGTAATGCGAGCTATTCAATCATGTTTACTTTCATTATACAGCTACATTAAACTTGTATTTTTTCCTGTAGATCAAGCCAACCTTTGTTCCTGCAGTGGTGTCGACCTGTGTCTTCCTCCACAACCTCTCCATCAACAATGGGGATTTGGTGGAGCCAGAGGTGGAGGAGGGGGCCTTCCATGACCAGGGTGATGACCACTGGGACCACCCTGATGATGCCAGGAGACAACATGAGGAACAGGCTGGCAGCAGAAGTTTTTGCACCTATTGGGGTCATCCAAGCACTGCAGGACCATAACTACTAACATATATATTTTCATTTCCACTACTTTTATTTATGGAGATTTAGGTTTTGTTTGTTCACAAATATAATTTTTCATGAGCATGCTCACATTGCATTTTCTGTTAATAAAAGTGCCTGTTTCACATTTTGCCTATTTGGATTTCACTTAGAAGTGTCTGTGTTTTAGTCGTTTCTGTACAGGGGAGGGAGGAGAGACCACCACTACATCCTGAAGAGTCAATGGTGACCGGACGTGTTATTGAAGGCCTCCGACCCAGTGCCTCGTCCATCAGGGCATACCATTTCCAGGATGCAGCGGTGGCCTCTCCTCCCTCCGTGTTCACTCCCGTTTTGGGGACACACACACACCACACACACACAGACACACACACTTGTGTAAAGGCTACATTAAAGTCATTGCAGGTGATCTCACACCTTTGGAAGGCAGCAGCTTACTTATGCCTACCTTGTATTTTTGTTTGAGGTTCTCCCACTTGTGCTTGATCTTCCCCGCGTCCACTTTCCCCACCAGGGCACGCTCTCTAGGGGGCACTGGTATGATAGAACTGATCCAAAGGGCACAAGACCAAATTTGGACTCCACCATGGTGAGTTCCTCAAGTCCATGAAGAATCTTACAGATCCCCAGCTGTGGCTGAATGTCTTTCAATTTCTCTCCAACAGACATCACACCCGGGTCAGGAAGGGGCCCTACCACACAAGATTATATGAGGATTCATCGCTTATATTTTGTGTGTTTTTAATAGAACTGCCAACTTGCTCTTCCTTATAATCATAACCTCGTGTTGATTCCTGACCTGGGTCCGAGGCCTGTGCCAGGTCTGCAGTCTGTCAGTGCAAGACACATGTAATGGCACAATCTTGTAGTTCGAGGTGCTGAAACGGGCACTTAGATAAAGAAGCCCCACCAAGTGGTTCCAAAGGGCTCTCCCTGCAGCACAGGAACAAGATGTGGACCTTATCACTATGGGAACCTTGGCAGCTTCCAATGTGATCTGTTAGGGGAAGTAACAAAAACAATTACAGGTTTTCACAACCAAGAAGATTACTATTACAACACATCATAGAATATGATAGGATACAATAAATATGCTCTTAATTTAATATTCATTTGGTGTCTCATGATGCCTTGGTCAGGAGTAATGGCAGGAGTATGTACCAAACATACATGTGTTTTTAGATTTTTGAAATGTAGATTAAGGTCAGTAACAGGTTTACCTTAGATCAAGAAATACTCAAGAACATACGAATTGTGTGGAGTGATTTTCATTTGAACTTTGACTACAGACAGGCAACATCAGACAGCAAGAACAGCAACCTAAAATGATTTTAACATGGAAACAACAGACTGCAACTGTAGTAAAGTTACCTTGATGACACTTTAACACAGTCACAACAGAATGTAATAAAGTTACCTTGATGACACTTTAACAGTCACATCAGACTGTAGTAAAGTTACCTTGATGACACTTTAACAGTCACAACAGACTGTAGTAAAGTTATCTTGATGACACTTTAACAGTCACAACAGACTGTAGTAAAGTTACCTTGATGACACTTTAACAGTCACATCAGACTGTAGTAAAGTTACCTTACCTACTTCAACCAATAATGATTCACGTAATATTACTTTATAACATACCTTAGTTAATATAATCATATTATCATTCGGTGATCTTATTTTTTTAAGATATAGCCTATGAAACAACAATATATATAAATCTATTGTTCAACAAGTTTGAGGACTTACAGGAACTACAAGTCCAGGAAAAAAGAAAGATTGAAAGAAAGATTGAAAGAAAGATTGAAAGAAAGATTGAAAGAAAGACTGAAAGAAAGATTGAAAGAAAGATTGAAAGAAAGACTGAAAGAAAGATTGAAAGAAAGACTGAAAGAAAGACTGAAAGAAAGATTGAAAGAAAGACTGAAAGAAAGACTGAAAGAAAGATTGAAAGAAAGACTGAAAGAAAGACTGAAAGAAAGATTGAAAGAAAGATTGAAAGAAAGACTGAAAGAAAGACTGAAAGAAAGATTGAAAGAAAGATTGAAAGAAAGACTGAAAGAAAGACTGAAAGAAAGATTGAAAGAAAGACTGAAAGAAAGACTGAAAGAAAGACTGAAAGAAAGATTGAAAGAAAGATTGAAAGAAAGACTGAAAGAAAGATTGAAAGAAAGACTGAAAGAAAGACTGAAAGAAAGACTGAAAGAAAGATTGAAAGAAAGATTGAAAGAAAGACTGAAAGAAAGATTGAAAGAAAGATTGAAAGAAAGACTGAAAGAAAGACTGAAAGAAAGATTGAAAGAAAGACTGAAAGAAAGACTGAAAGAAAGACTGAAAGAAAGATTGAAAGAAAGATTGAAAGAAAGACTGAAAGAAAGATTGAAAGAAAGATTGAAAGAAAGACTGAAAGAAAGATTGAAAGAAAGACTGAAAGAAAGCTCCTTATCTAGTAAAGTTAGTTTGACGAGGTCTGAGTCTCTTTTCTTTTGCCGCAATCAAGACACACAATGTATTCTGTGGAGCAGAGAGGGGCCCCCCTCCACTGCCAAGGGGGTTCTCAACTACGGCAGCAAACAGCTCCAGCGGGGTGCTGTGGCCTGTTTGTAATGTCATTGATTCCACCTCTTAGCACCCCCTTTGCTGGGCCCCCGCTGCTGTCTGGAGTTTTAAAAAGCTAGTCGTCTGTCTGCTTCATTTCTGTTTCCCTCGCAGTTTTTCGGAACATTAAAAGTGTAAAAAACTAAATAAAAAATGTTTTCTCATTGACAACTCAACCTGGCAAGTCTCCTCCCGTTGCTAGCTCCACTAACGTAAACGAAACTAACCAAGCAAATAAACATGTTAGAGAGGAGCACCCAGCTAGCTGCAGGAAAGCAACAGTGCTGATGAAAACTTCATTGGTAAGTTGTTTCATCATTATTTGAGATTAGATGCTGGTCTTTTGTTTGTGGCTGCATGTGTTGGAGACCGCCGTGTCTGCTGGTTATCGTACTGTATGAACGGCAGGCCATTGCTGTCACACTGTTTACAAAGTTTGTTGTCGTGCGTGGGTTGATAATGTGTGGTTTAATGGGTTGATAATGTGTGGTTTAATGGGTTGATAATGTGTGGTTTAATGGGTTGATAATGTGTGGTTTAATGGTTGATAATGTGTGGTTTAATGGGTTGATAATGTGTGGTTTAATGGGTTGATAATGTGTGGTTTAATGGGTTGATAATGTGTGGTTTAATGGGTTGATAATGTGTGGTTTAATGGGTTGATAATGTGTGGTTTAATGGGTTGATAATGTGTGGTTTAATGGGTTGATAATGTGTGGTTTAATGGTTTGATAATGTGTGGTTTAATGGGTTGATAATGTGTGGTTTAATGGGTTGATAATGTGGTTTAATGGGATGATAATGTTTCTCTTGGTCCCGCCCCGTCTTGTATCTCCATACAGCCGATATTATACCATAAATGATATACTATATTACTATATAGGCTACAGCATATGCTATATAGCCTATAGACAGTTTATGGGCCCACTATTGGTCCCCCCCCCCTCTGCAATGAGCCACAGGCTCCGCGCCTGGTTTTAACGTTTACTTTATTGGGAGATTATAACTCAAAATGCTCCCGAACAGGAGACGTTTTCCTCTTTCTCACAGGCTCCATTTCTCCAAAAAAAGAGAACCAAAACTACAACTCCCAACAACCAACTAACGCAAACTCACGAGGAGACATGACAAGTGGGTTTCGCTTCAAATCAATGACGTAGACTCGAAGTGAGGCCTCGTTTGTCTCGCGCTTCTCCTAAAATAACACGAGCCTCGATACGGTAGTGATGTGTCGTCATGAACGATTCGTTCAAAACGAACGAATCATCTGGGTGAACCAACTGAACTGAATCACTTACTGAAAAGAGTGTGTGTGTGTGTGTGTGTGTGTGTGTGAGTGAGTGTGTGTGTGTGTGTGTGTGTGCGTGTGCGTGCTCCGCCTCCTCTCTCTCTTCCTCTTAGTCAGTGAGTGATTTGTGTTCTGAACATATTGAACAGAACGGTCGGGGAAAATAAATGTGAATGTTTTAGCAGCTTTCAGTTTGCAAACTGGAGCTTTATCAACTAAATTCTCAGCTCATTGGTTTATTATTCACCACCGGCTGTTCTCAGTACGATGGCGAGCAGAACTAAACCGTGTTTCAGTTTATTAAATTCTGATTCACAGACAGAGCTGCAGAGAAGTACTGAACGATTCAGTGAACGAATCTTTTGAACGAATCACTTTACTGAACTGATTCTACTGATTCAGTACACTGAAAAGAACTGCTTTTCACATCACTACGATACGGGGCCTCAGCTAGAAATGTGCCTCCTACTCGACACACGCTTCAAAGCCTCGGTGTCAAACGTAACATTACTAATCTGGACTTTTACCTGAAACTGAATCCACAAACCGGATAAGAGGTAAAAAAAGAACAAAGAATACAGATTAAAGGAACTTTGAGTGACAGGGAGTGACTCCCAGCTGTTCGTCTCCTCGTCTTCAGTTTGAGATAAAATGGCGTCCAAGTTAGAGGGAGATCTGAGCTGTCCGGTCTGCCTCGACATCTTTAAAGATCCAGTCATCCTGTCCTGCTGTCACAGCTTCTGTAGAGAGTGTGTGAAGAACTGCTGGAAGGAGAAGAACAAGGAGTGTCCGGTTTGTAAGAGGAGACAGTCAAAGGATTTCTTACATCCTAACTTTACTTTAAAGAACCTGTGTGAGAGTTTTGTGCAGGAGAGAGATCAGAGAGCTTCAGAGGATCTCTGCAGTCTGCACTCTGAGAAACTCAAACTCTTCTGTCTGGACCATCAGGAGCCGGTGTGTGTCATCTGCATTACTTCAGAAAAACACAACAAACACACAATCAGACCCATCGATGAAGCTGCTGGACAACACAAGAAGAAACTTCAGGAAACTCTGGAGCCGGTAAAGAAAGTTAAATGTTTTAAAGAAGTTAAAGTGAAGTTTGATCAAACAGCAGAACACATTCAGGTCCAGGCCCGACACACAGAGAGGCAGATTAAGGAGCAGTTTAAGAAGCTTCACCAGTTTCTAGAAGAGGAAGAGGAGGCCAGGCTGTGTGCACTGAGGGAGGAAGAGGAGCAGAAGAGTCAGAGGATGAAGGAGGAGATGGAGGCTCTGAGCAGAGAGATAGCAGCTCTTTCACACACAGTCAGAGACACAGAGGACGAGCTGAGAGCTGAAGACGTCTCATTCCTGAAAAACTACAAGGCTGCAGTGGAAAGAGTCCAGCAGCGCCCCCTGCTGGAGGATCCACAGCTGCCCTCAGGAGCTCTGATAGACCAGGCCAAACACCTGGGCAACCTGAGCTTCAACATCTGGAACAAGATGAAGGACATGGTCTCCTACAGTCCGGTCATTCTGGGCCCAAACACTGCTCATCCAGTCTTCATCCTGTCTGAAGATCTGACCTGTGTGACACGAGGAGAGAGACAGCAGCTTCCTGATAATCCAGAGAGGTTTGATTATTACTGGTCTGTCCTGGGCTCTGAGGGCTTTAACTCAGGGACTCACAGCTGGGACGTCCAGGTTGGAGACAATACATTCTGGGACCTGGGTGTGTTAGCAGAGTCTGGACAGAGGAAGGGAGACAAAGAGTCTGGATTATGGTCAATATGGTTCTATGATGGTAAATACAGAGCATACACCCAACCACATCCATACACTGATCTCTCAGTGAAGAAGAAGCTTCAGAGGATCAGAGTGAATCTGGACTGTAACAGAGGAGAGCTGTCCTTCTCTGATCCTGATACTAACACACACATACACACACACACACACACTTTCACTGAGAGGATGTTTCCATACATTAACACTGGTGATAAACTCCCACTGAAGATGT